GCGGTCGGCGGTCCCTAGCTGAGCCTTGCATGGGCGCCAGGCCGCGTGCTCTGCACGAACATGCTCTCGTCACTGGTCCAGTTTGCAAGAGGAAGAATAACGTGTGCTCACAGGCAGCGCTTCTGGCCCGGGGACCGGATGAACCCGTTGAGGTGCGGTGCTCTGGCTCGCCCCTGGCTCTAATTCCTGGCCGCCCTAGCCGCTAACGAAGGCATAGGAATAACCCGTGTGGCAAACCCAGGCTCCCGTGGGTCGGTGGAGCTGGGTCTCCAGAGCTGGTTGTATCAGCCCGGGCAGCGTGTCTGTGGCGTGGCCGCCTGCCAGGGTCCCTCGTAGCCAGGGCACCTCTCGGGCCGTCTCTCAGCCTGCCGGGGAGAGTCCTGGTGCGTCTGCCATCCCTCGAGATGCTGCCCAGGAAAACAGCACGTCAACCATCTGCTTTCTGGAGGGGCTAAAACAAACGCTGTCTCGTACGTGTGGAAAAATCTCACTACGCGATCCGTCTCCCAGCTCTGCAGCACTTCAGCGAGAGCATCCAGGAGTACCTGGCGAACTTGGACAAGGCCCCGGACCCCACGGTCAGGAAGGACACCTTCTCCAACGAGATCTTCAGTGCATACGAAGTGCTCTTCAACAGCTGGCTGCAGCACCGGGAAGCCAAGGTGGGGGGACGTTGGGACGTGGCAGGACCTCCCCGGGCGCAGAGCGGGGAGGCTGTTAGTCTGACGTCGGCCTTGCAGCGTCTCGGCTGTGCCCTTTCGTAAGGACGTGGCCCCCAAAGAGCAACCCCACGGCCCCGGTTTAGGGCTGGGTGCTTTTCTCCTCGTGCCCGGCACGTCCGCTCGGTTCCCTCTGGCCTTGTGCCCGTACGTAACGCGTGCGGGCCGGGTCACTTGCTCCCCGGTGCTGGACGGCAGAGCGCGGGGAGCTTCTGCAGCCCTTGGGGGACGGTCTGGGCGTATGCCGCAGCTGGGAGATGGCCGGCCGGGTTCTGTCCTCTGCAGGCACGGGTGGCGTTGTTAGGCGTCCCCCGTCTCTGCTGAGCACCCCTTG